ACATATATATATATATATATATATATATATATCGTTTATATTTTATCTATCTTGTATAAGATGCATTTGGTTGAGTTGCGCTGCAGTAAAGTTGGTTGAGTTGCTCTGAGTTGCATGTCATGTCATGTCATGTCACGTAAAGCGCTTCGTTGTAGTACTACGGTGATTATCTCTTCAGCGCGAGCAGGACAAACAACAATGCAGAATATTAATAACTATGACTGGGACTGTCATATACAAAACATTATAATGAGAACACTATTATAATAAAACACTGTGAATTTTTAGAGTTTAGTTGCCGTGTTTCTGCACATGGTTGCGCGAAGAACGCGTCCACAAAAGGAGTTCATTCAGAGCCGCACAGACACGTTCATGTGCATTCGGGCCCTTTTTGCAGATAGCCTATAAGTCGTAATATTAACGTTACGTTGTATAAATAACGAAGCGTATTCTATAGGAGATATATGAGTTAAATCCCATTGATTAAAAACCTGCTGCTTCATTCTACTGGTCATCTTCAGCACGTGCAGCTCAAAACAGAAATGCAAAACATTAATAACTACTGTCATATACATAACGTTATAATGAGAGCACTATTGTAAAAAATTTAGTGAATTGTGACGTTTAATTTTAACTATCTTTTAATCAAAACATAAAACATTATTTACCACGTTTTTATCTGCGAGGCATCCGTTACTCATTTTCCCTGTGTGTTAACATAATTATGACTGTCGAATGTCTGACTTTACCCTTGGTAATGTATTTTGCCGCGCCCCCAAAACATATGATTCGACCATCAGTCAAATATCGGCAAGATTCGAAAATTCCGATTCGACTATGAAAATTCTTAGTCGGGGACACCCCTAATTAAAATATTTGGTTACACTTTACATTTGATGGTGTCCTTGTTACAGTGTCACTGTACATTTGAAGACCGAGTAATACTGATTAAATAATAAATATATGTGCTTAATGTGCAGGAAATTATGATGAAAATAAAATTGAAAAAAAATCTTAACTTAATCTAATTTCATATGGTGCTTATTTCAGCATTTTGGAGAGCTTTGAATTTATTACTCACCATGTGGTCTGTTGTAGTTGGGTCCCCCAGGTCCGGGGCCTCCTGGTCCAGGTGGTCCTGCTCCTTGTCCTGAGGCAGGGGGCATGTTGGGCATCCCCTGCGGCATGCCTGGCATGGGCCGTTTTCCCTGCACCGCGATCTGTAGGTGGTCAGGTAGAGATTGCCCGCGTGCCAGCATCTTATAGGCCATGATCTGTGCCCGCAGTTGGTGAAGCTGGTTTTGGTTAAAAGGAGTGGGCCCGCCGGCTCCACCAGGTCCACCTGCATTTGGAGGTCCTCCACTGGGTCCTGAACCTGCAACACCACCACTGCGGTTCTGCTGACCCATGGCCTGTGGGTCACCGCCCTCCATGGCACCAGAACCAGTAGGCATTATGGGGCCTGACGGAGGGCCGTTAGCAGGTCCCGGACTGGGGGCATGTTCAGAACCACCCAGAGGAGAGGGGTAGCCTATAAAAAATATGACATAGATTTTTACATTTTCAGAAGAAATTTCAGAAGAAAAGAAAAAAAAACTACAACCATGCTACCAAGTACTGAATGTTTTCCAATGCATTGCTAATGTAACTGCTAATGCGTTCTGAATTTGAGGTGCCATTTATGTCTGTGGCACAATGCAGGATGGGTTACACTGCAAAATGTAATATTTAAGGGTTTGATACTTAGAGTATGATCAATACATTTAGTGAAGGCAAAGGCTGCAGGAAATCAGAGGGGGAAAAAAAACTGTAGTACATCATCAAAATATCTAATCATGAAAGATTTATAGAATACCAAATCATACAAAAAAGGTCTAATTTTGTCTAATAGTTGTTCCAGTTGTTTTACAGAATTGCACAAACAACAAACATTCATTTCTGTTGCTTGCATCTCTTTAAACGCATCCTACTTTTATATTTGTTTCTTTTTCTGTCATGACTTTGCGGTTTTACAACAGCTGTGGGACTTTCTGTTTCAAAAACGTAACCCTGTTCACCCAAAATTTCTCTCTGTATGGAAAACAAGCATTTGATCCAGCGGAGGAACAAAGCAATGCACATTGCACGTCAAAGGGAAATGTGAGCAAACGGGTTGGATGGCTTTTCTATACCCAGTCTAAACAGTGATCATCTGTTCTCTATATAACAGACACAGAGCTCACAAAACATCTGCATATCTTATATTTCACACGTGTGCATGTGTATGATAAAATATAGCTAGAAGGAGAGAAGGACATATATAGACAGACAGAATGATAGAAAGAATGACAGACAGAAAGAGTGATAGAACAGAGAGAGCACCAGACAAAAAGAACAAGCCAGATAGAAAGAATGATAGACAGAACAACAGAATGACACAGATAGAACAACAGACAGATAGACAGAATGACAGAGCGACAGACAGATTACAAAGAACAATAAATAGGCAGAACGATAGACAGACAAGCAGAACGGCATAGATAGAAAGAGAGTGCGAGCAACAGACAAATACAAATAAACAGACAGGCAGAATGACAGAACAACAGACAGAAAATAATACACAAAACGATAGAAAAAGCGATAGTGGCAGAAAGAGCTATAGGCAAGGCAAGACAGAAAGAGCAACAGAGAAACAAAGACAGACAGATAGAGCGATAGAGAGACGGAAAGATAGACAGCTATAAAGATGAGAGAATGAAAAAAAATCACAGAGAACAAAAACAGTGATAGAGCAACAGACAGATACAAAGAAACAGTCAGGTAGAACAATAAACAGACAGAACGACAGACAGACAGAAAGAACGACTATAGAGTGAATAGAGTGACAGAAATAGAGTGACAGAAAGATACAAAGACACAGATGGAACAACAGACAAAGAATGACAGATATAGAACAATAGATAGAAAGAATGATAGACAGAACAACAAAAAGCAACAAATACAAAGAAACAGACAGGCAAACGATAGACAAACAGGGGTGATTTTCCCAAAATCAACTATGGTCGCAAGTTCTGTCATTACTAATAGAGTTTAATGGAACTTACCACCATAGTTAGCTAACTATGCTTTCAGGAAACGCACCCCAGAACGACAGAAGATAGATAGAAAGAAGGATAGAGCCACAGACAGACACAAACAGGTTAAAAGACAGAGTGACAGAAAGAGTGATAGAGAGGAAGAAAAAATGAGAGCATCAGAAAGAGTGACAGCCAGATAAAAAGAAACATAGGTAGAAGGATAGACAGAAAGATACCCTGAGAGTGTTGGTCCAAAGGACTGGGTGGAGGTCCCATGCCACTGTGCCCACCCTGTCTCATGCCCATACCCTTCATTTGAGCGTAGCGTTGATCTTCAGGAATGACTCTCTCATGCATGCCTTCCATGGGCTTCAAAACAATACAAAATAAAGAATGACTCAATGAAACCATCCAAACAACAGAAACGAAAGACATGCCACAAAACCACAATGAATCCGACACATATTGATAAAACTAGGGCTGGGCAATATAGCTAAAAAAATTATCATGATAAAATGTTATGTCATTCGGTATCGATAATTATTGACCATTTTTTTAATAACTTTTCTTAAACAGAGCAGTAGAAAACGGTTTAAATTTAACCACTGTATTTTAATTGACCCTATTTATTAAGACAAACAACTTATTTTAGTTTTAAAAGTCAAACACAAAATAAAATGTAAACAAATATCTCCTTTCTTATATTTTATATGCAGATTAAATAAGCGTTAAGGAAACATTTGGCCTGCCTGTGGAGGCCACAGGAGGGCGCACTGAGCAAAATAATGCACTTTACTAAATTGTTTATTCAAAGCTATCAAATAACAGCTGTCTATATAAAAAGTGCACACTGTCTAACTAATATTTAATTTAATTTCGTAAATTGCATAAACAATTATGAACAAAACAGCATCATGTATTTATGCATAGCTTAATACAAATCGCCAAAGCGCCGATCACGAGATTGCATTTAAAATGCAGTGGAATGGAATAAACCCCCCACAAATTCTCGAGACATGTTTTCTAAAAGTTAGCAGAGCCAGGTGAGGGTCCAGGACTAGGCCCTAACATGGCCCCTGGAGATGGCCCAGGGCCTGGGGAAGGGCCCGGCCGAGGGGTCCCGCCCATAGGTGGGTCAGGAGTGGACATCTCTCAGCAGAGCCGGAAGAAGTGAGAGGCAGAAAAACAGTGTTCTGTATCTGTTTTTAAAAAAAACTGTAAAATAAAATTAATTTTAATCCAGCAGCCTTGATGAACAAGATATATTATGCTGACATACACAGGAAACATGCTTTAAAAAAAAAAATTCTAATTATTTTCAAATAACATAAAAATACACTGCCCGTCCAAAAAAAAATAAAAATCACACACACTAATATTTCGTTGGACCGCCTTTAGCTTTGATTACGGCACGCTTTCGCGTGGCATTGTTTCGATAAGCTTCTGCAATGTCACAACATTTATTCCTGTCCAGAGTTGCATTAATTTTTTGCCAAGATCTTGTATTGATGATGGGAGAGGCGGACCGCTGCACAAAATCTTCTCCAACACATCCCAAAGATTCTCAATGGGGTTAAGGTCTGGACTCTGTGGTGGCCAATCCATGTGTGAAAATGATGTCTCATGCTCCCTGAACCACTCTTTCACAATTTGAAACAATCATCCATGCAGTAATTATCCAATGTGACCTTACCTATTTGCTCAGTTAAATCCAGGTGGTGACTTTTTTTTTTGGATGGGCAGTGTATACACGCGTAATATTTCATTCATGAAATAGCTGAAAGTAAACTCTAATTAATACAAAATAATTAAATTTAATTATGTAATTTCATCCTAAAAAATGCATATGCCGGTTAACAAACTGTTTACGAGTTTATTTACCATAACAACTAAATATTTACAAACATGTTTAATTAGTTATAGTGTAAAACGAACTTATATAATATAAATAAAATGTATCAACGAGCAATGATAAATGAATAAACCAAGGCTAACGTGAATTAGCAGCCGGCTAACATTGTATAACGTTAGCTAAAATATCCCACATTCACTCAAGCTTATTTACAACATTATAATAAATCCCGACATAACGGAGCAGGTCATTTGTGTAATGTATATCAAATTATAACAAAGCGAAAATTATTTTAATGATTTTTAAGGACGTGACCCAAGTAGGGAACAAGAGATAGATTAGAGCTCCATTAAAGCTAAAGACATAAAACAAAGCGACTTTTAACCGGTTAAAACATTTCCGATATGTTTTTTTCTTTACCTGACTGCTTGAGTTGGCCGAGAGTTTAAACGTTATTTGAGCTATTTAAATCAGTTTAAAAACCACAAACAAGACCTAAACGGGAAGACAAAGGACGGGGTTGTGTCTGTGTGATTACGGTCGGCCATGCTGTGCTCCTCCGTGTCCGTGTGTGCTCTTAAAACGGAGAGTTATAAAGCTCGAGCACAGAAGTAAATACCGCGAGCATCTTTTTAAAGATGACTGATCCTACCCGCCTCCCGTACGCTTGACCCCGGTCCCCCGCTCGCGTTACATTCCCAAAACGCATTCATTCATTCTGCCGCTGCTGTGGTAGTGCGATGTCGCCTGATCCGAGCGCAGCAGACCGGCGACATAATCAACTTACCCGCGTTCTGTAACGGTTACAAATGTATCGGTTTAAAAGTCCGCCATGACGTCATGTGTTCTACAATCATTGTGGCGTGTTTAGAGCGTGACTTACAGTATAGATTCGCGCCGGTAGCTTCCGTACTATTCGGCAAATCTAGAAACAAAGGGCAGCTCAGCTAGTTCCTTTTTTCCCTCTCACTTCCCTCCCGAGAGCGGCCTAAACGCATCAGTCAGCGGCTCGCGAGCGCCCCCTAACATCAACGACCGGAAGCTCCTGGTTTGAGCCTCATGCAGAGCGGAATGTAGGCTGCATGGCTGAATGGGGGATGGGTGTTGCTGGATGCCTTCTGGAAACCTACACACATATATATATATATATATATATACAGTGGCGTAACTTTGCTTTGAAAAGTGGTGGGGACACCGCCCAACTGGTTTTGCTCGTTTTTTATTGAATAACCTAATTTACTTGGGGACTGGGTTTAGAGTTGAACAAACTTAATTTTTGCTTTTCAAAAATGCATCGATGTACCAGGGCGGCGCCAGGTGCTGAGGGGGTAGATCACTGTCAGAGGCAGCTGGGCAATTCAGGGCTCCAGACTCATTCTTCCCACTGCTCGCTCTTTTGCGATTAACTTTCTCAGTTGGCTGCACAGTTTTTTTTTCTTTTTTGCGCTACAACATGCTGTTAATCAATGCACGCTGATGAACTTTTATCGTAGTTTATAGTTATATGGAAACGAATGTAGTTAACATTCAACCCGTTCTTTTTCATCAGTAGTATTATTTGAGTATAATTTTGTGAACAGGAGTTCCTCTTTTGCTGTGTTATAAGCCGGGCTTCGGATGCTTTCACTTTCAATTTCACGATCTTGCCAGGTTTTACAATAAAATATAAACGTCTGTTTTGCTTACAGCTATACACCTTTCACGTTTTAAGACAAAAAAGAGCGCGAGAGAGATAAAAGATTACAATTTCTTATTTAAATATTTATTTAACAATTTTATCTAATGATAATGATGGGATTAAAAAAAAACAAAAAATAATTCCAAGCTCCAACTCATGTTTATAGCATGTATATAACCATCACTATCACCCTAAAAATACAACACTAATTTAATGTCTGATCTCACCCTAATGTTTTAAAAGCTCAGTTTCTGTAATATATGTATTCTATATATGTAAAAACATCTGTATTGCACTTCATAAATCATTGAATGAATCTAGTTATAACTATAAAAGCACAGCCCTTGAAATGAGGCATAACATGGGTTAATTAATCTGTGCCTTAATATATGGCAATGACTACATTAAAATATTTCAGTGAAGACTCCAAAGGGGTTTTTGTTATCAGATTATATTTCAGTTTGCCTTTTAGATATTTTAAACTCAGTCTAATGTTGATGTGCAAAATAATATACACACACACACACACACATATACATATACACATACATACATATATATATATATATATATATATATTTATATAGAAAGGTGACTCCATTGCTGTGTTATAAGCCGGGCTTCGGATGCTTTCACTTTCAATTTCACGATCTTGCCAGGTTTTACAATAAAATATAAACGTCTGTTTTGCTTACAGCTATACACCTTTCACGTTTTAAGACAAAAAAAAGATGGATTCATTATTTTTAATTAAAATGCACAACAACAATAAAACAGTATTCAATGACAAACTAGTTTAAAAAACGTTATTAACAAAAACGAATAAGATGAGGCATGGCCTACACGCTGTATTAGGCTATATAATGACTAATAAATTACAGAACGTTTAGCAAACACTGAGGAATCAAAAAAAAAAGAAAAAAAGAGAGAGAGCCTCCATAGCATAAGGTATGGAAGTCCGTTTCTATGGAAGCCCGTTTCCGCCAAAAAGGTAATTGCGACTTTTTAATCTCACAATTCTGACTTTTTTTTCCACAGAATTGTGAGATATAAACTCGCAATTGCGAGTTATAAAGTCAGATTTGCGAGATATAAAGTCAGAACTTTTACTTTTTTCCACAGAATTGTGAGATATAAATTCAGAATTGCCAGATATGAAGTCACAATTGCGAAATATAAACTCCGCAATTGCGAGTGAGAAAAAAAGTCAGAATTGCGAGAAAAAAAGTCAGAATTTGCGAGTTTTTATTTCTGGAAAAAGACTGATATGTTCTCAGAATTGCGAGTTTATATCACAATTCTGACTTTATAACTCGCAATTGCGAGTTTATATCTCTCAATTATGACTTTTTAACTCGAAATGTAACTCCAAAAACCCTTCTCTGCTTTAAGAAGCGGTCTTTTACTGTACTTAAGCGTGAAAACCATCAATATTCGCGTAATTTTTGCTGAGCGCACCTTCTGCAATTAATAGTAAATATAACCAAAACAGGTCATTATAATTTTTATATGAAAAATAAAATAAATATAAGGAAAACTCGCCCACTTGATTTTGTAATCTTTAATTTTGTAGTCCGTATGAAAAGGTGCATTTCTATTAAACGCACGTCCATGTGGACACACATATACATATACACACATACATATATATATATATATATATATATATATTTATATAGAAAGGTGACTCCACTCTATTTGAAACACTCTGGCATTTAAAACATTTTAAAAAATAATATTTTACAGATTCCAACAATTAGAGGGCAGAATAAAACATTAAATTACAACTAATGTATTTTCTTCAGCACTGAAAACACCATGCTATAAAAAGTATCCTCATACTGTGCTTCAGCTTTAAATAATGTTGAATATCAGGGTTTATTGTGACAACATGCTACACCATCGGGGCAAGTTGTCACAGAGGTAAATGAACTGTACAATTTTTCCCAGCCTATAACAATGGAAATGTCCAATGGTGTTTTATACACAAGTATATAAACACTGACAAACAAAATCACCCTGAGAAATATTCACTGGAGCAAACATTGTGACAACTAGCCCCGGTGCTAATTATACAATGCAACTTGCGTCTTCTACAGGCTCTTAGCGACTGTTTTTAACCATATGTGACCCTAGACCACAAAAGCAGTCTTAAGTCGCTGGGGTAT